TGCACCCACCCGCTGCCTGCTGTCAAATCAGCAGAGGAGGGACTTGAAGGAGAAAGTTCTCCTTCAGGTCCTCCTCTACTGATTGACAGGAGGCAGTGGACAGGTGTAATAGTCAGCCTGCTACTAGCTATTGCAATTTGAAATATGGTAAGATCATAAACACAGATGGCCAGGACCTATGTCCCTCAATAACTGAAAAGGAACATAGGATACAGAGACATTTGGGATAAAGGACACAGGATACAGAGGACATTTGGGATGTGCAAAAGCAGTTCAACTGAAGGGTGGGAAACATCAAACACACCTTTAGAAATGTTTAGTAATGGACAATCTACAAACAAATACTTCTAGATAATTGCAGGCTTTGTAAACCTTATTTCTCTTTTCTTTCCCAGTCTTCTGACAGTGGCCATGTTAACTATGTCCAGGTTACTAGATGTCCCTTTACTTCCTGGAACTCTGGCACATGTGACTAGGATGTGACCATGCACATCATCACAGGGGAGGAAAATGCCTTTCCCTGAGATCTCATGAAATTACAGATGGGATTTCGCAGCAATACTCTGCTGATGTAACCTTCCCAGGATGCAACACTTTGGCACATTACATAATTTGTGCTAGAAGTGGACCAGGAAGTAGATGAACTATATTTGTAAGTAAATGAAAAACAAGTTTTAACTAATGAATGTATGATTTAAAATCAGCATGCAGACGGTGATTTCTAGTGAAAGGGTATAAAAGGTCCACTTTAAGACCATAAGCTTCAATAATGAATTGTGTTAGCCAGTGGAAAATGGTGGAATGAGAACCTGGTTCCCCTTTATGGGAACATTCAGCAATGACAAAAGGAGAGTCAGTCTTTCTAATGTAGGCAATGGCTGCAGGGTAGTTATGCACAGCTCAACTACATACAGACAATTAAGGGAAATCTCCTTTTGATGTACTGGGACCGCAAAGAGAGACAGGCGCACAAATCCTGAATAAGGTGAAAAGCTGAAACCACCTTGGGAAGGAAGGTCCTATGCATTTGACAGCACCACTTTGTCCTTGTGTAAGACCAGTAGAGATTCCTTACAGGAAACAGCCACCAGTTCAGACGAATGACTTGCAGAGGTAATGGCAACAATGAATATGAACTTGTGAGTGTGAAAAAGGGACAAACCCTAATAGATTCAAAAGGTTTTTGAAGCACCAAGATAATCAAATCCCATGGAGAAACAGATGGGTGTACAGGGGGTGCCATATGAAATATACAGTGTAAGGTCTTAATCAACAAATGAGTGGCTAACATTTTTTGGAACAAGAAAGCAAGCTCTAAGATTTGACCCTTAATAGTACTTAATGCTAATTGCATATACAAGCCCAATTGTAAAAAAAGGTCAGGATTTGTCCTATGGAGTGTTTTCTAGGATGAAAATGTATTTCCTTCCACCATCCTCCAGAGTTCTTCACCGTCAGGTGTGTAGAACTCCTCCCCAGTCCACCATGCTGGCATCTCATGTGATTAACTTCCAAGAGAGCATTAGAAAGAAATTCCCCAAGCTGGTTCTTGGGGTCAGGCGAATTGGTTTATATAGAGAATGAACCGACTTACAATAACAGTATCTCAAATTAAAGGGATCTGTAGTGAAATTGGCCAGACAGGCACTACCTTGAAAGTCTACCAGCAACCCTATCACTTCTCATAGGATATAATCCTTTTCGGAAATGGGAACTAGAGCAAAAAGCCCCTGTTCTAGGTGTGGTGACGCCAGAAGGTTGGAAGGCATGAAGCAAGGTAGGGGGATTGAAATCAGAACTCTAGCTTGTTGTCTTGTTAAACTACCTCCCGCACCCAGGTTAAAAGGTTTAAACACATCCTCCCCACTTTAGGTGCATCACTTAATGCCAAAGAAAACTTGTCAGCAAGTTTGGAATGTAAGGACTAAAGCAGAGAACAACATTTTAGGCTGTGTCAAGTCTGGACATATTAGTGGATCGAGAACCAGAGATACCGATTTCAGCGGGACTATTACTCTTAAGTGTGATCCAATATGTTGCACCACAAGGGAAACAACTTAGCTGAGTATACCAGTTAAAGACCTTGAAGTCCCACAAACCAACTGTTTATGGCAGAAGAGATTCAAATGGCCAGAGGTCAGCAAGTCACTGCAGGTGGTAGCGATAACTAATTGAGGTGGAACTGTGCGTCTCTTACAAATAGGAGCTATAGCAGGAAGATGCTACCTCATGCTGAAGGGGGTAACAGTGCAAGGAGGGACACTCCACTAAGTGAAGCAGTACACAATTCCTCAGCATTTTAAAATTGTCCAGGAAAAAAAAAAAGAGATTATGCCATAAGCCGATTCTAATATAGTAGCCCCCAAACCTTTGCAGCTAACACAGTACACAGAGGACCAGAAAGTGCCACAAGCATAGCCCAGTGCCCAACAATTATCTAGTGGGGTCTACAGCCTCCAAAGCTTCTGCTGAGGATACCCAATCCAGATAGTTGCATAAGTTGACCAGCTCAAGAAGCATGTAGATAAAATTCTTGAAAAAAAAAAAATATTGGACAAAAAACAGCATGTATTTTCGCACACCTCTATGGAAGAAGCAGGTATTCATGCGGCCAGAAATGCAAAATACCTGCTGCATTTTAAAATGATACAGCCACCAAAATATGACTAAAATGCTATTACTAAGTAACATGAATAATAGTGCCACTTGTGAAATGGACCAATGCCAGTTTTTGTAAAGTTTAACAAAGTAATTCGGGAAGTGACTTTACAGGTGTTTACTGTTCCATATTTTCAAGATGGCAAAACCAAGCATTTAGCACATCTGATATGTGACTACTAGATTACAAGAAAAACCAACAAGAGACTGCAGTTTTCAATAACTACTACTAAAATGGTTGAGTATAACCAATTGTCACTTTGACCAAGTTTTCTTATAG